ACGAAGCTGAACACGTTGCCCACCATCGGGATGTCCGACTCTGCGCACGTGGGCCACCGTCAGAAACAAGCAACGAAACGCCCCTCGCATACACACACGCACACATGCATATTTGAGAAAAAGTTGTTAAATTAGTTGACGCTAGTTAATTCAATATTCGAATTATTACATAATTAGCATTTATGAAAACTATTATGCAATAATTTAAAGCAACAACTATTCAGATAAATATTTACATAATACTCAAAAACATGATTTAAAAATTTCCTAAGAACATGCCTAATTCTGAATTCCAAGAAATCATCTATTATTGATTGCAAACGTGCATTTTCAGGGAGCAGGGACTAGACTAAAGATACGAAGATTGAAGAGAAAAATACTACGAGTTATAGTACAAATATGTTAATAAAATACTTGTGGCTCTTTTACCGTTCGCCAATGTTTTGAATACAAATGAAAAAATAACTTTTAGGAAAACGTCTGTGCAGTTGGAAATTGATTATGAAAACATTTTTTGTTACTTTTCCGGTTAAAATGGGTATAGAGGGATTTGATTGCGTTGGTGCCTATAATTGTTTTTACGTAGTTTGGAATTTAACTTTGACATTTGTTCTTCTACGTTTTTTAACAATTTAACGGAAGAGATGGAACCAAGCTAGGACCATTCTGATACAATTTCCATTTTCAGTGAAATTCTCCCGCAGTTGTGACATACCGACATGTATGGTAATCGTGTCATTTCAAATAACGTTTATTTCGAAACTAATTATTGATATTTATATGCACGGATTGTAAAGTTTCTGAAATCTTTTAAAATATCTTCCAGAAGTTTCAATTTTGTTCTTACCTAGTTTTCACTGTCTGCCCTATAATTTTGATAATTTCTTAATAAATAAAATTCTTCTTCTTTATGTTTAGGATATAAAGGATACGTATTGTCTTTATAAATTCTATCGACAGAGTGTGAATTTTGTCGTCTTGAGTTTTTACAATAATTTCTTGATATTTCACAGTATATTTATGTAGGAAATCTTACAATAATACTGGTGAAATCATTTCTCAGAAAAAAATAATTCAATCGCTTCTGTTCTATGCTGTAAGTAATAAATTAAGTAAATAATTATCTTTTTTGAGAAATTGAAAAATCAAATTAAACTACATCGAACTGCATTTCCCCTCCGGCAGTACACGGCGTTGGAAGTCCCGGCTGCTTGAGAAGGTCTATGTCCTTGAAGCCTTTCGAGAGACTTCGCCTCGTGGCAACCGAGGCATCAAGTTTCATTTCATCTCCCTCCTCTATTATACGGCCTCCCAAACAGGTAGCAACGCAGAAGTTCCTAGAACTGGCCCGCGCCCTAGAACTTCCCTCGGAGTCCGCGCGGCGCAGGCAATGATTACCATACATGTCGGTGTGTCACAACTGAGAGAGAAATCCACTGAAAATGGAAATTGTATCAGAAAGGTCCTTACTTGGTTCCATTCTCTTCCGTAAAACCGTTAAAAACGTATAAGAACAAATGTGAAAGAAAGTTGAATTCCAAACTACTTGAAAAAACATTATAGGCACCAACGCTATCAAATCCCTCTATACACATTTTAAACGGAAAAGGTAACATAAATTGTTTTCATCATCAATTTTCAACTGCACTGACGTTCTCCTACCAGTAATTTCTTCTGTTGTATCCTAAACATTGTCAATCGGTAAAGGATTTAACAGTTCTTTGATTACCCATATTTAAACTATAACCCGTATATTATTCTCCAAGGTTCTTAGTATCAATATTATAGTCCGTTCTCCCTGAAAATGCACATTTGCAGTCAATAACAGATGATTCCGTGGCACTGGGAGCGCTACCGACCGGTGTGGCTGTGCGAAATGGGGTCCTCGGCGAACAGCAGGAAGTTGCAGAAGATGACGAAGTAGGTGACGAAGAGGCGCGGGTACGGGTGCTGGAAGTAGTAGCGCAGGTCGTGCTTATCCAGCAGCTGCAGCTCGGAGGAGGAGGGCACGACGACGGGGCAGGAGGCGACGCCGCCGCGCCCGCCGGCCTCCGCCCCGCCCACGCCCCCGCCCAGCCCCAGCCCCAGGCCCAGGCCCAGGGCCCCGCCCGCGCCCGACAGCATCACGCTGCGCCGCCGCTGCAGCGCCTCGCTCTCCTCCCAGCTGCTGGCCTTGCGCGACACGATGCCATACTGGTCCGGCGGCTGCGGAGCACACACGCACACACACAACACATTACAAAACTCCGCGAGGGCGCGATACCAAATTCTCAGAGCCATCGGGCGTGTTGGGTACGTCGAGTCGTAGTTGTACCGAATATTAATGCGACAATTCAACTCTATAAATATGGTCCTATATACATTTATAGAAAGTCAAATTATTGTGGGTAAAAATTTGAAAAAACAGATAAATATTTTCTTTAATATTCAATGAAATATTTTTTATTTAAAATTAAAGAAAATATTTTACCTGATTTTCTCAATTTTTTCTCCACAATATGGCTCTGTATGATATATAATATATATGATATATATTATCTACAATATATCCTGTTCAGTCATTATAAATATGACTGCACAGATTGCAAACAATTGATATTCATAGAATTAACAGACAGTTATAACATAAAATTAACTAATGCGAAAATTTTAAAATATGCCAGTACCTGCATTTATTATGATCAGCGTGACCGCATCAATTCGTTCTGAAATAACACTAATCTGAACATGAATTCGATTTTAATTTATCTATAATATGTTCTGTTCTGTCATTATGAACATGATTGCATAGATCGCGTACAATTGATATTGTCATATTATTTCTTTATAATTTTTGGCCGGAAACGGTACTTCTGCCTTTCATCTATTTTTCAATATTTAACTGTCTGCGAAATTGCATAGTTGAAGGCAAAACGGGTTGACATACATCTGTCTCCCATCGATGTTTTTATCCGTATACGAGTATACAGAACAAAACAGATGCGGGAGCGCTGTAAAAGATAACTTTGTAAACTTGTTGTTTCGAGGAAAACCTCGCCGAGCGTATCCGTTCCGGTGAAAAGCAAAACTGTTGTCAGCGCTGCCTCGCAGAGACGTTTTTAGACCGGAAATTATAACGATGCTAGAGTTAGGGCGTGAAAATCATGTTTCTTTATATGCTTTCTCTAATCCCAGCATTTCTCTGCAATTATAAACTTTCAACGTTTGAAATACTGTATCTACGAGCACGAACTAAACTCTGAAACAAAATAATTGTTGAGTTTGTGTAGTTACCTAATTAACAAGCCAATTAGTGATTTTCCCTTTGTATTTTCGTAACTTTATTTAATTCTTGCATAAATATATGAATGAATTTTCGCAACATTTTTTAAAAATATTACTACAGGGTAAATACCGAGAAAATGTAATGATTAATTTTTGGGAAGAAGATATTATTTGCGGATCTGAAAACAACTCCTAAGCTACAGACCAGTTCTGACCACTCCTAAGATGATTAATTTTTGGGAAGAAGATAATATTTGCGGATCTGAAAACAACCCCTAAGCTGACAGACCAGTTTGATTTAACATAAAGTAGACGCAGATCAGCTACCGAAGTTAATCAAGTAATAGACTAAGATTTGATGAAGATGACCATTGTTCCTAAATTAAAACATACGGAGAGAAAAATTACGCTTTAAACCAAACATTACAGTTTTATGAATGAGGTGTTCTGAGTATGCCGCAATGGCTGGTAAAATACCCTAAATGTCTAACTACAGAGAATCATCAGTTCCAGACTAGGCTGATTCTGTTCTTCTTGAAGCAGTCTTTGCATCTCCCTCGTAGTTAGAATTTAACTGATCGTAACCTCG